AGCTTTTAAGATCCCAGTCGCTACTCTCCAAAGTAGGAGGGGGAACAATGTTTTGTATAGTATGTTATGCCAATTGAGCTTGATGTCCCCTGCGACTATGATCCTGAGCCCACGGGTTCAACTACTCGCTCCCTCTAGTTCTCAGCCCTTTTAAAGCTTTGCTTCTGGAAGGGGCACTGGGAGAATGGAAAGCAGAGTGACCTCATGAGCAGGGAGGGACTCCCTCCCACACCCCTTTTGTGGGCCCTGAACACTGCACCTATCCACGCGTTTCCCCACAGGCCAAGCCTTTGTTCAAATCCGCACGGAGCCTTCCTGCTGTGGAGACCTCGGCCCAGGTGGCCCCTCAGACCTACGCCGAATACGCCATCTCGGGCCCTCCGGGAAGGGCTGCAGCCACATGCCCCGCAGAGCCACACCCCCCGGCAGGAGAGGCCCCCAACCAGGCCCTGAAACCGGGGGCAAAATCCAACAGCATCATCGTGAGTCCCCGGCAGGTGAGGATGGGGATAGAGGAGGGGGCTTTGAGGATTCTGATGGGAAACACTGTATGAGGATGGCTCTGGCGGGCAGGGGAAGGCAACGTGAGTTTTAGCTACTTCAGTAACGCAGTGCCATCCATTCATTTATTCATTCATTAATGTAACAATTTTTGTGTGGGTTGGGGGTGCCCCAGCTGTTTTGGGGGGTGTAACCATGCAGCTACATTTTCTGTCCTCAGGCTTGTTCATTCATTCAAAATCTATTTATTAAACACAGATCCAAGTTCGAATCCCTGCTCTGACACACCGTAGCAGTATGATCTTGGTCAAGTGAATTAACTCATCTGTGCCTTAGTTTGGTCATCTTTAAGTGGGGAGTCATCCATCTATTTAGTCCACAAATAGGTACAGAGGGTACTAGGTGTTGTTCCAAGTTCATGAGGATAGAATGAATGAAAGCCAACAGATAAATGCCTGCCAAGGGTGGAACTGGCATTCCAGTGGACGGGAAAGGCAATGGACACAGATTACATAGTTGGAGCCAAGCATATGTATAAGTTCTCAACATCATTAGACATCAGGGAAATGCAGAACAAAACCACAATGAGCTATTACTTCCCTCCTACTAGGATGGCTAGAACCAAAAAGTTAGACATTAATAAGTGTCGGCGAGGATGTGGAGAAGTTGGAATCCTCATACATTGCTGGTTGTTGTTGCTGTTATGTGCCGTCGA